AGAAAAAACCCCCTTGTGTAAAATTATCATTTGATCCACGTGACAAAAAATCCGGTGATTTATGGTAGGGTAGTGTAGATGTGTGGTGCACATGGCGATCAGCTGTGCTGGATCCAGCTAGCTCCCAAATGACAATGGCACAGACACAGGAATATGGCAAGCGCATTTTTCAGCATCCTGTTGTGTTGCAGGTGCTCCTGGACGTGGAAAAACTGCATTGATGCAGCGTGGCATCATAAAGGTGATGATGTGTGAGTCTTTTAAGGAATTGTGGACAGGCCGCACATTTGCATGGGACCTTGAGCAGAATTCAATAACAGAGGCAGAGCAGAAGCAATTCATTGGCCCAATTGGCCATTTAGACAATGTTGCTGGTGCCCAGCATGTCTTGGCATTGCGATGCCTTCATCAGTCAATCGATGGGAATAGACCATATATCAATTTTCTAATTGAATTTGAGTGCCACCTTCAGAAGAATGGTCTTGACTTCTCTAACATCACCCTTGAAGCCATATTTGATCATGTGCTCCAGGGAGCAGCATTACCAACTTCAACTACAGCATCAGCAACTTCTCCAAACATAGTACTCTTCCATATCAGCAAGACAAATCAGCTTCTGAAGGATGAACCATACAGTGAACTGCAATTGCTAATGAAAGCTGCATATGGGTTTAACAAAGATATGGCACAAGGTTGCAATAACAACTATATGCTTTTGATGACATTTGATGGCACTCATCGAGTGGAGCTGCTGCAAGCATTCAGAGAGAGCAATATGCAGTGTTGCCGGATTGATCTGCACCCAGCAACAGTTGAAATGTACACAGAAGTGCTGCAAAGGACAGCCAGGAAGGCAAGCAAATCAGGTATCCAGTGTGACACTGAACTACAGAACTTTGTGCCTCCAGAGCCATTTAAAGCAGCACTTGCTGACTGTGGTGATAATATGCATCTGTTTACATTATTGGTATATCATATTGGGTGTCACAACAGCAATAAATGTCAGTTTAGTTGGTCTCTATTCTTTGAGAATTTGAAACTTTTTACCAACAATGTACCAACTATTGCTTTATGGATGTGCCATCTACGTGACACCATTGTTAAATGCTTTGGAACCTATACAGATGACTTGCTCAGACTAGATTCTAATTCACTGCTATGTGTCCTGGTTCCTGTTGTGCTTGGCCAACAAATCAATGATGTTCCTTCTAAGGTTGTGGGAGATTCATCTATTACATGGTTGGTCCTTGAGAAAAGTGGTGCTATTAGTTTGTGTGGACAACCCAGACCTTTTGTCAAGCTGCCATTTGTTTTTATTCAGATGTATCTCCAAGAAATCAATGATGGCAACCAGTCAGTTATTGATTTCATTCATCTGCTTGATGACATCAATAATGAGTCAAATCCATGCCAAAATGAGAAATGTGATCTTGCTATTGTCACATTCCAGCTACTCCACTGGCATTTTAACTATGAGGGCCATGAGGTGTTCAACCTCAGTGATGTGTTCCAAGATGTCAGAGGCACTGCAGCTAAAATGAGTCTGAAGCTGCCAGCTGCCTTTAAAAGGAAAGACCTTCTCAAAAATTGGATACAAAAACTCTGTCAACACTTTGATCCCAATTTGCATCTAACTGAGGGGGCCTATATTGGTGTGGGCAATGAGAAGTTTGCAGACTCCTGGATTGTGTTTGAGCGTTCCAGAAGTGATGGTATTGTTGTCTTGGCAATTGAAAGCAAACATCATGCAAGAACTGAGCCACTCACTAAAGAATATTTCAACCTGCACAAGAAAAAGGTATATCAATATGTCCTTAACTTTTCTGATATGTTTATATAGTACATATTTCACATGTCTGATGCTATTTGTCACTGTGTATTTAGGTAAATGATAAGCTGCCACATGGGACCCCCTTTGTATTCATGATGGTGGCAGATATGGTTACTGACAACATATCAGCAGGTCATGATGAGATTGTGGTTGGGAATGAAAACATGGAGAGTCTATATGGCTCATGGCTGTTGCTGCGCCGCCAACTTGCACTGCGGCATACATAGGCATAGGACTATCAAATACCTCACATGGATCCAGGATCCTGAGAAGAAAGAAGATTTTCAAATTCTACAAATAAATTGAAGACATGGTTCAGTGAGAGAATCTTCTAACAAGATTCCCTGCTTGATTCATGGAGTTTACTATTTTGCTTTTCTTTTTGTGATGTGATAAAAAAGTGTTGCACAATAACAATGATTATAAAGTACTCCTGGTGATAAAGTTGGTATAATAACAATAATCTCCTAACATTAACATTAATCCTTTATGTTAATAAAATGCTGATGGTGCAAGCTTCCCTCCCTCACCATATCTGCATATGTCATACTATTTTTTGATTCGATAGTGTTACGGTCGGGAATTAATGGGGGTTTGGGAGAGCGATTTTATCTTCCGCGTAGGTGTGTATTTGCCGACCGGGGGACGTTACCAGCTTAGCTCGTACTATAGACCCTTACTACGATAGTGGTACAATTAAGACTGAATTAAGCCTCAAGTGTCCTATTTTAATTATGCGCGCTTATCCGAGTTTCAAACACTCGTGAATACAAATAAGGGTACCTTCAATAGAATAATAACAACAATTATTCTATTAAAGAATCGAAGGGGAATAACTATTTAAAATTAATAAACAGGGCTATCTTCGAGTTGTTTGTCGATTAGTCGGTTTTTGTCACTTGTCTCTACTAACTAATTAAACAATAATCGTCTCGACAATTAATTATGAACTCTTGTTTCGTTATTCACTTAATTGATCAGCTTACTAGTTTTATAAAAATCAATACTATTCCGTTACAGTTTAAGTGAGCCGTTTAATTATTTCGACGATAGAAATTAAATATATATTTATAGTAGAGAATACTACTAATATTATTTTGTTTCACAACAATATTCGAACTTTTTTGATGTTTTTAAACATGAACAACACTATAAAATGAAGATTGGCGATGGAATATGAGCTACTTATATATCTTCGAGCGTCACTGAAAAACCGTAACGCTTTTCACTAATAAAAAAATTTTTAATTATGCTAATCATAGCGTTTTGTACTGTCAATGATTTTCCGCAACGTTTTTGCTGTCACTGGTTTTTCGAAACGCTATTATTATTATTACTAATTTTGAAACTGGACTAAAATTAGTGTCGATCATGGGTTTGTTTGACTACGGAGGGAGATTTTATCATGTGACTCACTTATCTGATTCATCAGATCAGCTCGCCGTAAACAATAGACATGGACAATTATTAATTCTTGATAAAACGTTCTTGGAATAATGCAAGAAAGCTACAAAGTATTAAAATTAATATATAGGATTATATGTATATGAAAATTAGTAAAAATGGCGGATCAAATGAGTATGAGAAAGCAGTCAATTTCTTGGAAACTGGTTGTAATTATAGTTGTTCAACTAAAGTTTCAAAAGAAAGTTCTGCTGAATTACGTGAGGCGTTTCAAGCTCTCTCTAGATCTGAGCAAGATATATTTTTAATGGCCCAGCTAAAGGCAATGAGTGGTGGAGAAATAACTGCCAGCCGACGTCTTATAAAGAAAACGCGTACTAATAAAGAAACTTTTATTACTGAGACCACAATACATGCTGAACGTTAATTTTAGTTTCGCTAAGACACCCAAAAAAATACGAAACACTGGATGAGCCAATTTGATTAAAAATTGAATCCCATATTTGTAATGTATATGATTGGTACGTCTAACACTACATATAATATAACCCTATTACTATACGCTATATTCCATTAATCATATATTAATATATTCATAGCACATAACTGAACTGCTCATATAATAATAAAATGGTTACCATTCAGGATTTGCGCGGTTCTAAATGCACTGACGATGAATGGTATGAATATTGCCAGATGCCGCAAGTTCGAACAAATGAAACTTCTGGAGAGTGGAAAGAGCGAATTTGGATGCAAAAATTGAATGTGCGAATGTGCGAAATCTTCTCGTTGACGTGTAGAAAAGAAACGTGTGCGAAAAAAATGTCTTACTGTTTTATTGTTACTGCTATACACCCCTGTTATAAGTGCAAGACAAAATTTTACTAGAAACCCCTTTATTTTCGAAAATCTCTATTGTCCATATGTACTATGCAACCCACAATAATTTTGGTACTACACCCACTTACCAAAAGTATTGGTGATTTTGTCGATCATAAAAATATGCCGTTATAGTCCATAGATTTTAAAAAAGCATTGTGAATGATGTAGTGATTCAAATTAGGGGGTAGGCTAAAGCGGAGTAGTTTTTTTACAATTTCATTGGTTGATATACAAATTTGACCAATGTAATTGCAAGAATCAGGTCACGTTCTACTCCGCTTTAGCCATCCTCCAAATTAGGTAATTAAACATGCACTTGAATCGCAAAAACGCACACTATTTTCGCGATTAAAAAGTTATTCAAAACAACTTGTTGTTATCTCAAAAATGGTCAAAACGCAAGAACTGTCAGTTATTAAACGCGCAGAGATTATTGGAGCTTACAAGTGTGATGTAAAGCCAGCGGAGATTAGTAGAAAGCTAGGAATCCCAGATATGACAGTCCGAAATGTTATCAAAAAGTTTAATAATGAAAATACAGTTGAGAGTAAACAAAGAAGTGGAAGGCCCAGTATACTTTCGGAAAGAGACGTTCGTTCGCTGGTGCGTGTAACCAAGAAAAACAGAAGAGCAACAGTCGCACAATTTACAGCGGAGTTAAACCACGCTTTGCCGAAGCAGGTAAGTGAAAGTACTGTTCGCAGAGCTCTGCATGAAAGAGGTATCATGCTCGTGTAGGCAAACGAAAGCCTCTGGTTACAGAGCGCAACAGAAAAAAACGTCTCTTCTTTGCAAGATTTGCAAAAGCCTGGTTATACGAGTGGAATGAAATGATATTTAGTGATGAGTCACGTTTTGTTTTATTCTCAAATGACTCTCATAAATGGGTGTGGCGACAAGCCCATGAAAAATATGATGTAAGTTGCTTAGTTCCAAAAGTCGCACATTCTCCTGGTGTGATGGTATGGGGTTGTTTCACTCGTGATAGAGTTGGACCTTTGATACGAGTTGAGAATAGTATTACGGGGGAAGTCTATCGAAGCATTCTTGAAGAACAGTTACTTCCGTTTATGGAGAGTCTAGACGCCTCCAAAATTTGGATTTTTCAAGATGATAATGCAAGGCCGCATCGGACAATGGAAGTAGATCAGTTTAAAGAGGATAATGATATATTATCTCTTCCATGGCCTGCGCAAAGTCCTGATCTAAACCCTATAGAACATTTATGGGATGAACTCGAAAAACGAGTGAGAAAACGTGAAAATCTGCCTAAAAACTTGAATGAATTGTTCACAGCACTGTCAGAAGAGTGGTATAACCTTGAAGGAGAAACGTTAGCAAATTTGGTAGATAGTATGCCCCGTCGTATACAGGCTGTCATAAATGCTAGAGGAAACCCTACACCGTACTAATTGGTTTATCGGATAGTGCAGATTTTAAGGAATAAAATGATGTAAATATCAATAAAATATCTTCCGTTGATTGTGGCATAAATCAGTTTCAAAGTGATCGACTTTTTTCTACCCCGTATAATGATCGGCAAAATCACCAATACTTTTGGTAAGTGGGTGTAATTGATGATATATTCAGTTCTGTTGTTGTTTCAAAGCTGTAATTCGATGAAGTGGCGGGATTTATGTTACACATATAAAATTGTATAAAATCATGTGTAACACAAGTGCCGTCATGAAAAATACAGTCGTCTTGTACTGTACTTATAATTTTGTAGATGTTGGTGAAGTATGGATTCTTTTTACTTGTCGTTCGTTGATTAGGCTATATCGTTATGTGGAAGCGAGGGGATCAATCATGAAGATATTGATATACGTATATAACTCTCCGTTTTTACCCACAAATATTATCAATTATTAAAAACTGCGATTGCCAAATCATACAGCACACGTATGGTTAGCAGAAATTTGAAACTACCTTTTCGGGTAAAATTTATTTTTCGTGTTGGCCAATTTTTTAAGGCCTTAACGTAAATTGGAAAGGCTATAGTACACAATTTTGAATACATAAACACAGAGCTCTGTCGCTGAGCGGGAAAAAAATTAGATCTCATTATACTTAGATGGTGGTAATGAAGAGAGTAGCGAATTTGAAGTGTGAATGAGGTTAATTGATGGAGCGAAGAACCTCTTTAAAAAATTGGTTATCGTACGTTAGCATATGCCAGAAATCAAGAACAACTTAATATCGACACTATTTTGAAGCAGAGAAAGCATAGGGAAAATGGACAAATGCTTGCTTGATATTTTCAACTTTTTCTCTAATAGCATAGACACGATTAAGAGAAAATCCTGGATGGTGAGTTCTTTGAGAGAGCAATTTCTGATATATCATCAAACACTTGGCATAAAATCGAGGCCAGTTTTCTTGTTGTGCTTTCTAGATCGCTATATATACCATTAAAACCAGATAACTGTAACAGTTGGTCATCTTTCTGCAATTCTGGCATGCGTTTGTAGTAAAAGGATAATCGGTTGTGAGGGAGGATTCTGGGTGTGTAATGTACCTACTTTTATGTTCTCATATATAGACGGCTTGATGTCACCCCTCCAGAAGTGCCGGGAGGTCTTCAGGAACCTCACATAGGTCACAATCTTTCTCTAATACTCCTTTCGGATGTTTGGTTAGGCATTCACGTTTTCTTAGACTGTGGATAAGCTAATACGAAGATCAGCTTATACTTATCTTGTACAACGTGTAAAAGACAGTACTGCTTTATTTATGATTGACCAAACAAAGCAAACAATCGTAAAACAATCGCATTTTCTTTCTTCGTATTAAATTGACTACATACTTGTGTTGGAATAACTAATTACGTAGACAGGTCTGCTATCGCCACTTCTACGTTTTACAACTTGGCTGTCCCTGAGGTGACGGCTTTATGATTTTCCCCCTCGAGTGGAACATAAATCATCTTCTCCCTATCAATTACAAATAATTTACCTTTTCCACATTTTTCTATATCAATTCCTTCCTGTTTTAGTCGCGCCTTTTGATATTTGTGAGTCACCGTCATAGGAATCCTGTATAATGACGAATGTGTGAGCTGGCAACAAAGGCCAATTGTACAATTCAAACAATCAACCCCATTCTACCTTTCCCAGTACATGCTCCACCGTTAACTGTTATTGTCTTTCAATTACTCTCTTTTATCATTCAAACACTTACCTATCTACGAATCTAATAAATCTCGGAATAGCATAATTGGGAACTCCATCATCGAGTAACGTCTTGAATAAAGTCTGAGTGACCTGCTTAACCACTTGGTTGTCTTTCTTCTCCAACACTAGAGTAGCCATGCCAGCTTGGCCATCATAATGAGGAATAGAAACACCATATACAACGACTTCGGATATAAAAGGCTTGTTAGATATGCAATCGGCTATCTCGTCTGTTGCAACGTTTTCGCCTAGGGGTTAATAACGGACGGTTTAATTCCACATTCGCTCCATCTCGTGTAATGCATTCTCCTGTCGCTTCTGCAACCCCCACCCACTCAACGTACCTTTCCATCTGAACGTATCTCCAATTCGTTCAACAAAATAAATACGCCCGTCTTTATCTCTCTTAAGTAGATCTCCCGAACGTTGCCAGGCATCCCCCTTTTCAAAGACATCTCGTAGAAATATATTCTCGTTTGCTTTATCATTTTTCAAATATGATTTGGGTATCGTGAATCCGGGTACGTTTGCTCCGATGGCCTCACCCGGTTCGTTGGCACCTGCCTCGACACAGAATCCTGTTTTTGGGTCACGATAGGGCATTTCGGTTTCGTAGTCAAACTTTACAAGTCGGGTGCCTCGGAGAAGAAGCCTATTTAGTGAAACAACAGGCGAACAGGAAGGATTAAAACAGGAAAGGAATAGATAATGACAAACAAGTTTTATTGAATATGAAAAATATACCTTTGCAGAGGCCCTCGTAATCCAACCGCCCCAACTCCATAAGGACCGGCGTTATAATTGTAAAATCCCACTTGCCCTACAATGGCATCCTTAGTATTGCTCATCGCTATTCGCAATATCTAATTTGCTTCAACTTTCATTCCTGCAATACACTTACCCTCGGTCTGACCGTAGAATTCAAAAATGTATTTTACACCAAACCGCTCTCTGAACGCCTCCCAAATATCTGCTTTTAATCCATTTCCAATTATAAGTTCAACTGAATGGTTTCTGTCGTCAGGCGAGGGGGGTTGGAGCATTAAATATCGGCACAATTCACCTACATGCTAATAATCCATATGAAAGAAAAAACAAGTTAGAATGGGGAACCATCGTAAAATTCGTTTTTGTGAGTAACAACAATTCGGGAAATATATTACTTGAAATGATGTAGCTCTACTTTCGCGACATTCTTTCCAGAACGTCCTTGCATTGAATTTGCGTCCGATAATAATAGTTACTCCTGCACCGATGGTTCTAAATAATGTTGTACCCACTGTAGTTTAATAACTGGCAGTTAGTATAGTTGCTATTTGCCATAAAAGATATGCCATGTGTCTAATACATACATGCCGACGTATGATAAAGAGGAAGGCAACAATAACATCTATCGTTAGGCGCTAGATCGGCGTGATGTGAATTGAACAGACCAAACACTTGGCACAAGAAGTAAGACGTTAACGAGATGTGTCAACCTGCACATAAAGCATGCGATTATGGGCACTTACCGACAAAGGCTTTGTGAGGCATACAAACTGCCTAAAAAGTTACGAATAATAATGAGCAGTTAATTGACAAGAGGACTTTTCCTCTCTAATCCATAGACCATTTTTTACAGCACATACCTTAGATAATCCAGTAGTTCCACTAGTATAAATAAAGAAGGCAGTATCTAATCCCTCGGTTTTCACCATTGGCAATTTCTCGCCCTCCTCTAACTCTGTTAAATGAACAACCTCAATTCCTTCTCTTGCGATTGTCTCGCTTCTTTCATTATTCTCTCTTGCATATTTCAGCTCGACAAGTCCAACACTTGCATAATTAATACCCTTAATACGTTCAATGGTATCTTCAGATGCAATAATCAGCTTAGGTTCGCAGGTCGTAATAGCATGATTAAGAGCATTGTCGCGAAGGTAAATGTTGACAAGGGATGTGGGGTGGGCAAGCTTTTGTAATGCCAATATGATAAAGACAAATAGATCAGAATTGCTCATAAAGATTGAGACGGTATCTTTAATAGAGGTAAAAACAAAGTCAGTCATAAAAATAAATCATTCGTGTAGTCATTAGTGTATTGATCAAAAAAGTTATACCTTTGGTTTGTAGATTCTTCGTACGTAACCATGATGCCTATCATTGTAAAAGAACAAGAGAGAACATTATAGAATATATGTAATACTATCTCAATATTTATATGATATTGTTTTGCTTGATCAAACGCTTCATAGCAATCTAGTGCCTTAAAAAATTCATCTCTCCCTTACCAATTTATCTATTTGTCGTTCAGCCTGTGCGTACGTCCACGATCTCCCTTCGAATACAAATCCTTCTCTATCTGGCCATCGCTCAACTGTTCTCTGGAATATTATGTATGAGGAAGCGTTTCCTGTCTTCTCTAACTCATCATAGCTAAATTGACGAGTGAAAAGAAAATTTAACATGTGTTGATTATAAACGAAGCAGCATACTATGTACGATCAATTCTGGTTACGATGGCATTGTTGTTCGTTGTAATTAAAGGCATCTCATAGCAACAGATGAAGTTCATTTTGTTACAACCGCCACCATAATCACTCGTACATTAGATACTACTTAACCCCATTACATTGGTAAAATATTTTTTGCGAAGTTAGTATACAGCGTAAGATATTTTAGATCATGTCTAATGTGATATTTTGCATCCAAATACGCTGCTGTTGTTGTTGCTGCTGCCGCCGCTGCCGCTACTGTAGCTAAAGGAAGCATTGTCAAAGAATGAGGATGGGAATGTATATGGTGAAAATGCAATATATAATTAATACCACCTTTTGTTGTTGTGTAAAGTTTAAGTTAGTAAGTAGCACACGACATTATTGAGATCACCCGTCGATTAGTCCTATTAAGGCGAATTTTCCCACGACATTCATCAACTTTCGTGACTTTCATGTGAAATCGGTAATTTTATCAAACAAGTCCTACAAAACCGACATTAATATGAAGTTTTGGGTTATTGAGCCGAATGATTATGGCGTTTATAAATAGAAACAAGAAAAACGTGCAGCAAAAAGTCTGAAATATTTGAGGATGGTATGGTTATTTCCTTATTCATATAAAAAGAAAACGAAAAGGTGAGTTTATTCTAAACAAATCAGATGATCTACTTGCAATTTGATACCTGCAAAAGGAGAGAGTTACGAGAGAACGCAAAAAAGAAAGAGACATTTTTAGCAGATCTTAACATTGCTTTCGAAAATCTGATTCTTCAACAAAAAATCAAAACTTTAATTAGCAATGAGAAAGTTGACAACAAATGCTTGTGCAATTGTTGAAAACGCGGCGGGCTTTGTCTTTCGACCAAGTATATTAATAATTGTTCACCTTTATTATGGTGTTGTGCTAAAGACCATAAATGGATGGTGTCGAGCCAATACACGTGGGAGAGCGACCGTATACTGGCCTTGAGATTTAACTCTTTGAGCGAGGCCTTTGACTATCTCTACTCGAGTTAAACCTTTAAATGACAATTAGTAACTTTAACGTCGGGTTTCGAAATGCTTGATCGGTCTTGTATACGCTATCCCTATTTTGTCATTTAACTTCGAATATTACGTCTATTTCTTTCGATAGCGATAGGTTATTCTACACTTAATGCGTTTATAAAGAATTAAATAATAATCCTACGAAATTGATGGTAAGATCAACTCCGTTTACCATCGATGCGAGAAAGCGTTTTACACTTTTAAACACCGAGTTTTATCTAGGATATAAAAATCATTCTAGTTGCAAGGAATATCATAGAATATTAAGAACAAATATTCGAATGATAAGCTGAAGATGATATTCACTACGACTGCTTATATACAGCGAACTTATAACGAACTTTTTTGCTGCACGGAAATTTTTAATAATAAAATTGTTTAGATATAACAAAGTTATTTATAAATCCCTCTGTCGGAGGGAACCTCCACATCTCGGAACTTGAAAATTTTTTGTTGTATTTCCATAACCATTGGCACAAAAAGAATTACGATTTCAACATTCATTAAGACTATGCAGCTGTCTCTTAAAAGTATGGGATTATCGTTATTGTGGTAATTTTGTTCCTTTACTTTATCTTTGGCATTTAATACATTCAAATGCAAATATGGGTCTACATTTGGCAAAGCAATAAAGATATCATTATTAAGTCATTGTCAGAGATATATCTGTAATTAAAATTTGCGTATTCTAACAAAACGTTCAACAACGGGTACATACTCTTTCCAGTTCTTCACCTTCTTCCGGAGACATCTCATTTCCATATTTAACTAATTTCCCATTATGAGTAAAATGTGCGATCCTTGTGATACATCAGAGTAGACGACGATACTCGATTGTATTTTTTGCAAGTTGAACCAATCGAAATAATCGCCAAATCGCCCGATTCTCACCATTTTTTTTATACTGATTGAATTTAGCTAAACTAAATAAGATCTGAGCAATTATTTCGTTTATGTTATCACAGCCTAAAAGAATTGCGTTGGTAATCGTCTGGTAATATTCATCAAGTACGGCATCTTCCATGTCAAGTCGCTAATATTTGACCAAATATTGCAATCGCTCAAACCTATATTTATTGCAGCAATAACGAATTATCTCCTCAAAATGATCGTTTGCAAAACAATTGGGTATTTTGGTCCACAATAACCACTTAGAAGAGAATTTTACTCTGGGAATTTAAATTTTTTGTCAGTCCTTGACCTATTGCAAAAATTTTATCAAGTAGTGTGTGGATGGTCCTTTGTCCTACCAACCATATTTTACTAACCCCTTCTAGTAATCGACAATTATCACGTGCAGATATAATCAATCCAGCCTTTCATTTCGTCTCAGAAAAAACTTGTAAATTTTTGTTATTTGAACGTAAAGCGCATGTTTGAGTTTCCTTTTGTTCGAATGACCTAGTATACAGTATATACCAGTTAAAAATTCATCCGGGGCCATTATAATAGTAATAATTTACACACACAATAATTTTCTAGTATAATCTGATACAATAAAATTAAACATGCAGGTTATGCTCACAAAACGTTATTCTATATAAATTGTACGACAACAACAACAACAACAACAGTATAACGTTATATCGCGAGATCAATAATGATTATCGTTATACTGAGTCCGTTTATTGTTTCGGGGAACAATCGTATTTATTATAGTCAAGAGTATTATAATACAATTGTATCAGCTTGCTATCGATATATCATCACTATCATAGAGATCAGTTTAATTGCGTGGCTTATCGGACTTGTTACCAGTGAAAAATTTTTACTGTGTGTGTTCCCGAATGTTACACTTATACTATTGTTCTTATTTACGGAAACAAACGTGACAGTCGCAATATGATGTAATAATGTGTTACAAGTAGGCAATTATCAATATATGTCATCTTCCCATCTAACATGCGTACACGCACGTCATCATATGATTAAAATTATACGCGTGACTTATCGGACTTGTAAACCAGTGAAAAAATTTTACTATGACTGTCACGATTGTTTCCGTAAATAAGAACAATAAGTATCAACGTAACATTTTGGTGTACACGCGATATGATGCAATGATGTGTTACACTAAGCAATATATCGATACCCGCTTATGTTTACTATTGGTTGACAGT